CGGGTTTCTTCTACCAATTTACCCTGCCTTTTCTATTTTTGAGAGCAGCTTCAACACCTCGCTTGTTTGTGTGGGGGAGGCGATCTTCAGCAGACACTCCAGAGTTGTGTAAAACCCTTTTGATGCTGGCGAGTACATGAAGTTAAGCACCCAGAGCAGGTAGAATACATCAATGATTGCCTGCGCTGGGTGCTCTGCCTTAAAAACTTAGTCCTCTACTGGGTCAACACTCTGGCCAAGGTTGTCCAAATCGTTTCTCCAGACAACATCGGATACGTTCCGGCCCCACATAAGAAGAGCGAACATACGATCAAGCTAGAGTAAACTGAAGTTGAATTATGTTTTCCATATTTTTTCGAATCTGTCTGTTTTCAGTCAATTTGGAAAGTCATTTTTAACATTTGTCGCTTGCGTGAAGATAAAACTGCGGCAAAATCGTTAAAAATAGCTTTTTCTTTACTTTGGTAATATTTCTTGTACTTTCTTTGTCTGGTCTTTATGTTTTAATCTTTCATGTATTTGAATTTGTACCAGCATGCTTGAGTGAAGTTTAAATTTGGTTAGTGCTCTATTTCTCGCCTTAGTTATCTATTTCAAAGTTGCTAGAGGAGATCTATTCCTGAATGTTTTGTGAAGTGTTGAAAAATGCATTTACAATCTTGGTGCATATTCATGCTCTACTTTGAATTGTAGGGGAGTAGGAAAACTGCCAGGCTGCAATGCTTTTCGTTTTCGCCTTCGTGTCCGGCAGTGCCAACGAAAAATCAAAAGAAAGAAAGAAAGGAAGAAAGAAAGAAAGAAAGAAAGAGAGAAAGAGAGAAAGAAAGAAAGAGAGGAAGAAAGAAAGAGAGAAAGAAAGAGAGAGAGAGAGAAAGAGAGAGAGAAAGAAAGAGAGAGAGAAAGAAAGAGAGAGAGAGAAAGTGAGAAAGAGAGAGAAAGAGAGAGAGAGAAAGAGAGAAAGAGAGAGTGAAAGAAAGAAAGAGAGAGAGAAAGAGAGAGAGAAAGAGAGAAAGAGAGAGAGAGAGAAAGAGAGAGAGAAAGCAAGAGAGAGAGAGAAAGGAAGGAAGGACATCCTGCTCTGAAAGGTTTCCCAAAAACGATAATCAGAGATTTGCCTTAATTTGTCATATTATGTGGAAATATAGTTTATTAAAATGTATGTGAAGAAAGTATGATGGAGACAAATCTGATTCAGCCAGTTTTAAGAATATCACTAAATGTTTTTTTTTTCTTTTTAGAGTTTGGATTCTGTTTGAACAGACTTCATGTGCTCCCTGTTTGCAATATAGAGAATTTATGACCAACTCGGTGAGCATGGAAAATGTGAAGAGGAACAGAAACACATGGTCAATATACAAGGCCTTCTTGCTTCCATCCTTAAATAGGGGACTGCCCGGGCCTACTGCTATTGCAATATAAATTATGTCAGGTAGAATGACGGGCTTAAGAGGCTGTTTCTCTCTTGTCAGAAAAGGCGTTTATACTGATTATTGCAGCAGCTGTACTACTACTGCGGTGTCTGGTATACCTTGCTATCCAGAGAGTAGTTTTTCCTTCAGCTTTCAAGCAAGGGTGAAAACACAGGCCAGCTTGTGTACAGCTCCCATCACAATATACGGACCGGGAATGATAAAACGACGAACTATCACACACATGTCTCAACAAATGTATGCCTACAAGAAGCAAGCTGGAAAAGGCAATCAAGACAATACATGCAGTGCCCTATCAGAGTTGTGGTCTTACCAGCTTCCAAACATAAAATTCCGCGGGTACATCGACTGCACAATGACCGCACGTATTGTTCACTAAAACGCTCAAATCTGAAATGGAATAGCGCAAGCAGGGAGCATACGTCAACTTCCTGCGAAACAGAAGGTGAGCTCGGCGACTGTCGGCGTCTACGTTCACAACCCTCTTTCACAGTAGAGAGTACTGCCATAATGATATTGGTGATGCGCGGAGCCAAACAACCAAGACGATAATTAGATGATTATCGGTTGAGACTGGGACACACGGTGCCATCGGCGAGGGTTCGCGTCTTGGGTCACGATCACTTTCAAAACTAGCAGTATTGCCATTGCAATGTTGCTTATGCGCGGAGAACAGAACACAAGGCTATCATTGGTTGACACACTTGGTAAGAACGTAGTACGGAAGACCCACAGACTAATAACAGGCAAGAGAGTCGCTGCAACGGTGGATTTCTTGTTCATCATGGTTACGGGCTCACCGTCGTGACGCTCAAGTCGGCTCAAGCAAACTCGGATGATTCTTGCGCATCCACCGTGGCCGGTATGTAGTGAAGACACCCGTCGGGAGTGATGAAGCTTCCTGTGGCGACATTCTGCTCGAGGGAAGCGTCCAGTCTCTTCAAGAAAGGGGAATCCGTTGCGTAAGAGAAGTAACAGAACTTAAAGACGGGCGCTCCATGGTGCTGGGAGAATTTCAGGAAATTATGGTCAAATTTGGCGGCTGTTTTGCCACGACATCAAAGGTGCGTCCGCCCACAGGCATCAAACCTCAGCCCTTTGCTTGGGAGGCAAGTACGATAACCATTCGGCTACGGGCGCGCTTGCTCGGAGACGTGCGTTGCAATTGAATCGCCCGAGGGGTGTAATGAACGTTTTGTACTCCTGGCAGCATTCGGGGAGTGGTACCTGGTGAAACACAAACATTGCGTCCAGTTTCGGGAAGACGGTAGCGCTTGCCAGCAGCCCGAACACTGGTCAATGGACGACACATGTGTCGACCATCGACCAGTGTTCGACCAGTGTTCAAACATTGGCGTGCACTCCAATGTTTGAAGACAAGGACACGTCTCCTTTTGGCAATATTTCAGTGCTTTTCAGCCTTCTTTTCCAAGAGCGCCCGAAGTGCGGCTAGCGGGGCATTGTACGCGGACGACATCGATATTAGCCACAGTAGGGTCGGAGTTAAGGTCTAGATCAACGTCACATCATCCTATATCCACAGGGTGTTGGATTGTACCATAGTCGATAAAAAGGTTCCCCAAAACATTGAAATTTGAACTTGAATAAGAACCATGGAGCATATGTCATCTTGCTGTGAAACACAGGGAGACCTGAGCGGCCGGGCTCGTCTTCGTTCACAACTACTTACAGAATAGAGAGCACTGGATTAGCGATATTGCTGATGCAGAAAGTCACGAACAAAGATGATCAACAGATGATCGTCAGTGGACACTCGGATACACGAAAACACCGGCCACTGTTCGCATAGCAATTCACGATCACTTTCCCAACAGACAGTAGTGCCTGAGCGATGTTGGTTGTGCGCGGAGAAACAGAGACAGGACAATCATTGGTTGACGAATTCGGCAAGAGCGTAGTACATAGTCGTACAGAAAAACTTAGTCACGAGAGTCGCGGCCACGCGGAACTCGAAGTCTCATTTGTCACATGCAGGCAGCAGCCCTCGAGTCTTGAACATACTCGTATCATCGGGCCTATGGCTGCCCGAACCGCTCGCACACTACAAGTTAACGCCCAACTGGCCCAACGCCGCCGGCACTGGCATGCCCAGCGTACGTAGCACGATTTTGGAATTACGCTGCATATGACGGCCTTGTTCACTGATCTTCCCAAACTAAAGGTAGTCCCAAATTAACGGTAGAAACGGTACTGCAGGCAAAATGAGTGAAGCAGCCGAAATGCTCGTCATCCTTGGTAGACTTGGAAGAGGAGTGTATTATGGGATATCCTACGGTTGACTTACAGGGTTGGTTCTCGGAAGTATTATCCGTTAACAATTTTGGGATGTCTGGGTGCACAAATACTGCTTAACAAACTGCACATGCAAAGTGTTTCCCTCTTAATATAAAAAAGCTCTTATTAGTTTGTGGAGGGAGGTCGTTGTCATGTTCCTCGCATACTTCTGGAATCCGCTTGGGGGCGCGTCAGTGGAAAGGTGGAAAACGCTCAGTTACTCTTTTTTCCTCCTTTTGTTCTTAGAGTGTGCCTTCGCGCTGATTTTTCTTGGTCACCAATAGAGGGGAAGCGCCCCTTTCTTCCCTTTATACTCCTCGTTCCGCGCGCTCTTTCTGAACCTGTCTCTGCTCTCTCGTTTTTGTCCTTTCCACCATTCTCCGTTCCGCAAGCATTCGCACACCACCGGCTTCTGCTCCTTCGGTTACTGCCTGTTGGGTCTGTGGTTCAGTCAACAGCGCTCTCGGTTTCTGTGCCGTTAACAGGGACGGCATCCCTTGAACCTGTTGACTTTTTACAGCGGAGCTGTTAAGGACTAGTTTCCCCAGGATTGTGTCCGGTACCAAACAAATGTTGACACCCGTGGTCGACAAAACACTCTGGTTGCCGCCGTCGCTCATAGATGGCGGAAACTGTGCAGAGTGTTGTGTTAGCCGGTTGTCTGCTTGCCGCCGCCGCTCATAGATCGCGGCAACCTTTCCAGCCTCGGCAACGAGACAACCGGTTGTGCTGCTGTCGCTCATAGATAGCGGCAACATTTGTTCACAGGAAAAAGAGCAGGAAAGGAACGAGCTTCGATGCGCGCAGCAGCGCGAATGGTTCCGTAACCCCACGAGGCCGCTATCGCCTAAAGTTCCACTGCGTCGAGCGCTTCGGATTCCCTTGCGAAAGAAGAGCAGATTGCTCGCCTGGAAAGCATCCGCCGAGAACAGAAGCTACAGCTCCGCTGCTTTTCCTTTTTCACCAGAATGGAAAGCTGAAAGATTTTTTTTTTTTTTTTCAAAATTGTTAAGCGGTTGTGGATTGACCGACCTACACATTTAGTGTTTACGCGGCTCCTGAGGTTAGTTGGCCCTATAAAGCTATCGCTTTAAAATTTATACTTACAAATTCTAGACTTTTAACAGTGCAAAATAATTTAATTCAGTATAAATATTGCGCATTAAAATAAAAAGGAGGATTCAAGAGTCAGTCATTCTAGCTGGTAGCAAAACGTTTTTGTCCAATATTCGAACAAGCTTCCGACATGTAAACCTGAATATTAATCTGTCTTACCAAGAATATTCGGAGATATTTTCCCTTCTTTGTTCCGTCTTCCTAAGCGACGCCTGAAATCAAGCATACAAATGTTTAGTTTCAAAATTATTTGTTGGCGGTGAAATATTTTTTCGCACTTTATTCTATTTCTTACTCCAAGCACACCGATAAAGTACACTGTAAAATATGGACAGTGAACGATATATAAATGCCTCGTGAGTGCTCGCTATTGCAATTACACTATTCTGCGTTACGGGTGGAACCAGCTGCACAATGAAGGAAGGAGAAACACAAAAGTTGCCACGCAAGATGCACGCATAGGGGTTATTTTCACGTATGTAGATGATTTTCTTATTTTGTGCACCACAGAAGTCGACGACCAAGCCTGGGATACCTCAAAACTACATTGACACAATTCGAAAAAAGCTGCATTGGCTTTTCATCCACAAAACTGCAGTGAATAAGTCGATTCGGTTTCTTGATTTGGCATTAAAATTCCAAGCAGGGCATGTCTTTTGGCAATACCAAGCACGATCGCGAAAAGGGTTTCTTCCCTATGATTCTGAACACTCAAAAAAATTTTAAGCAAGGAGTGGTTATCGCAGCCCTCTCCGCAAGCCTAAAGAAGATCTTCCCACATCAAGTCCAACAAAGCTTTGATACTCAAATTTCACAACTACACAATGTTGGTTATCCAAAAACCTTACTGGCCTCCACATGTGAAAAAATTATGCCGCACTGTCAAGAGGAACAATGTCCGAAGTGAAGAACAAGCAAGGTAAACCAAGAAGCCCCTTTGCAGTAGTCCCGTATATTCATAAAGTCACCCACAAATTGAAAAAAAAAAAGCAAACCGGGAAAACGTCCAAGTTGTGTGCTTCGCAATCAATAAGGCTTGTTCCTTATGCCGCAGGATCAATCAGACACAAACGGACAAGAAAGATATGTGTGACATCCGGCAGAGGACAAAATACGTTCCGTGCCAAAAAGGAGTCATTTACAGCATACCGTTAATATGTGGACGATGCTATATTGGACACACCGGGAGATGCATAAAGGACCGTGCACGTTTACATGTGGCCGACGTTAAAGGGGTACGGAAACGAAAATTGAAATGATCAAATTTCGTTCGGAAATGAGTCAAGCATGACGGATAATGACCGTCAATAATAATCGCAGGTTTGTATTTTGAACGACTGGCTATATTTTTCGCTCCAAACGGTGCACTCGAGCAAGCGCTGAAGAGAAGCGAATGGAGAGCGCGATGCGTCATGGGATATCCGGCGCAAAGAAAAACAAAAAGAAAAGATTCCCCGCATTCGTGACGTAGCAAGACTGGCGGGGTTATCAGCTTCGCCGTTGGTGGTGTTGTCAGCGTTGTGGTGGTGTCAATAGCGTCAACGTGTTACAACCAAGCCGTTCGATGTACCCTTTCGGTGACGAGCGTGTGGCTGGCCCAAGGACCACGTAGCCTCCAGAACACTGTCAGCTTAGGGCTGAACGGGGTGGGGAAAGCAACTTTGTCCGAGTTTTGAGCGACGGGATACTCTTCTAGGGGGAGAACGGCTGCGTCCGGGTACACAAACGGGGTCCGAGAAAGTGGGGAGTCCCTTCTTCCCGTCTTCTTGGACTATTTGGTACAATGCGCGATTTGTGAGTTGAGGAGGAAAGCTAAGAAAGAAAACGTTGGAATTCCAAAGAGCGGCGCTGCTCCAATGTAACTTGCTACGGCATGACTACGTAGCAAGCTGCCCAACGTTGCTAGATTACCTCCCAAATAGGCTCCACATACATCCCACAGGTGCAGATTGAAAGATAGTTTAATTAGCTTTAAAATTAGTTTTCTTGTGCCTTTCAACGAAAGACAGGTGTTTTTGAGGTTATGCTGCAACATGCAACACATTAAAGCTAAAAAAATAAGCGCTGGAATTTTGTATCCGTACCCCTTTAAGAATATCGCAGGACCAGGACACCTCACTGCCCATTGTCAAACTTGCAAATGCAAACCAAAGCTTGAGCAAGCCAGCTTCATAGGGCACCATAAAAACCAGCTTGCAAGGGAGATGTTGGAGGCGTTGGCTATTGGCTTCGAGATCGACCTAGAGGTGGCACTACGTTCGCTCTATCATCATCATTAAAGCGGGGATAGGAGAACAGCCGCCCCATGGGCTCTTTACGTTCGCGCGCGAGACGGAGTAGGTTCTTGCGTTTATTTTGTCGCATAATATCGGTGGGAAAAGAATTCTAGCGGAAAAGGATGGGGTACTGTTCGGTGCTTCAGTGAAGATTAAATCGTGTGGCCAGCGTGCGGCCTAAATCTATATAATCACTTCTGCGGGTGCGTCGTCTGCTCTAGGCAGACGTTGGAAAGCATGGATCACCACGATTGATGCCTGTCTCCGGCTGAACTGGAATATTTATGTTGCACATTTGTTTCTTTTAAAATGGATGTATCGGTTCATCAACGTGGGAATTAAAAACAAAACAATAAATTCCAACCCAGATAACATAATACTATACTGTGGGCTGTGAAATCGCAGCTTCTATGTTTTTTTTAACTTCTAGTTTTTGCAGTAATATAAATATTTAAAATGAAGATAAGTTAGCTCTGTATTGAAAATTACCATGCTATTGAGTTCCTCTGTCCTTTTACTGTGCCATAGTGTGGGTAAGATTTTCGGAGTCTGAACAAATCTACTGCGTTGAGGTGAGGAGAGTGTGTCTCTTCCCGTTAAGATCTGCAAACTGCACGGTTGGAAAGACAACTGAGACAAGTGAAACAAACTGTTCTAATATATCTGCCGTGACTGTAATAAACAAGTGTAACCGAGCAACGCAGCAATGTTCCTGTTGTTAAATGCTCTTCTCGGTAGTGTGGGTTCACCCGCTACAATTTTTGTTTTGGTGAGGGCCGCGGATGCCAAAAGGCTAATACTACAAATTTCTGACTAACTAATCTTGTATTCAAACACAGTAGACTCTGCAACCCCAACAAACGACGCGCACCACGACAGACAGCATCGGCCGCCGTGATACCCTTTACTGATGAGGGATAGCGGGTTCACAAGACTTTCCGATCACCCTGCGCCCTCACCTAACGTATATTGGGACTGGGCAGTTCATCGATTAACTTTCAGATTATTCAAGTAATGCTTTAATTGCACTTTTTTTTGCCGGTTAACTGGAGTCTTGTGCTGGAGAAAGTCAACAAGGAGTAAAAAATGCCTGCTTTAATATTTTTGACATCTTTATTTTCTTTTGTGACACAGGCTTGCACGGTAAAAAACTTCAGTGTGCTTGTCATTTCACCAAGGGTGATTATACTGTTTAAATAATCATTTAAAAAATTATTAATTAATTTTAAAAGGCTTTCCGTATTCATATTTATGTAGGACTCACAACGTGAAGTTTAAAATGGGAATGCAATATGCCATTTATGACATAGTAAAACCAGTAAAAAAATGTGTAGTTTTAACATCTTTCACGCAATATGACCAGCGAAAAATCAACGTACGGATTTATTGATTGATTAGTGTATTAAAGGATAGCGATCAGTCGGGTTAATTTTCTAGTCAAACCACAGACCCACTTAACATTCAATGCTTTATGAAAGTCACGGTTTGTGCGAGATAACAAAAATACGTGGGACCAGCGATTGTATACAAACCAACACACTAAGATTATGGAAGCTTCCGACTTAATAATAATAGTTTTGTTGAATTTCTACGAATGGGAAACGATACAAACAACCTTTAGTAAGAAGAAACGCCAACAAAAACGTAAAACATTTAATAAGGAATGTCATGCTCAGCCTGAAACGGGCTTGCGTCGTCGAGATCCATTCTTCTGAGCGTGCGCCCGTAGCAGACGACGCACGGCGGTATCCTCGCTTCTGCGCGTCTCCAATTTCGGCTGCACGGTGACGACACGGTTCGATTTCGAAGCGAATGCACCTTTCCAAAAAACGCTTCTAGGCCGCCGCCATGTTGCTGATGTTGATGCAGCTGGTGCGACTCTCGCGCCCTCTATCAGCTGGAAACTTTCAGCCACTCTCTTGGACTGTGAAAACCCGCTCAGCGCGATTCTCTACCTACGTTCTTGCGGTTTTGCGTTCGACGTTTTCTAACCCCTCTTCAAAGTTTCCACTTAATTTTTTTTATGCGTGCTGCGTACCCTTTTTTATGTTATCTTCCACAGGAGAAACAGGGCTTGAGAGTGCCTGCCATTCAATAGTTTCTGCTCAACCTTCACTGGAAACGAAGGAGGCGAAGGACGTCTACCGGCCCTCGACACGGTTTTGTGAACAATGACAATTGTTCTCCCCCTTCCCACAGATAATCCGCGTAGGATCCTCAGTCATCCCAAAAAAAATAGTTATCCGAGTTGGGGTGGAAAACGGATCAGTCGCGTTCGTTCCTTTGCCTTGGTGCTGTTGTGAAAAAGGTACCTCTCCCCAAAACGTGCTCCAAAACGAAGTCATCTTGGACTCCGTCCGAGCGTCAGGATGTAACTGTCATGGATTGTGACTGTGTTATTTGAGATCTTTCTCAAATAAATTATTTTTAGAAAACGCTCCATCGTGGGATACCTACAATACATTGTTCTAATGTTTATACTTGCTAAATTGTATGTCCGTGTCCTGTCCATCGGTAAACACGTAATTTGTGGGCGTGAAAGATGTATGCTTTTCGGCTATCTTCTGTTGTATATTAATTTCGATGGCTAAGCGCTTTGTCGTTTGAAACGCGGCTAAGCAGGCGGCGCCGTCAAAAGCTATCGAAAAAAAAATAAAGAAACGACAACTAACATTTTAGTTGCATTCGTTCTGTCGCACGCGCACTCAACAAAAAAGTTTACAAACTTTTTTTTTTTAATGTGGTACAACGCTTTAAATGTGATACACCATGAAGCACAAAATACTGCGGGAAAAGACAAGAATTTTGCCACCAGCACTGCTTTGAAATTTGCGCCTACGCAGGCTTCGCCTATCAAAATCAGAGTCCACTCGGTTAAGGTTAGCAGGGACGCCGGTGAGAGTCTAACCTCAAACCCAGTGACTGTGCTCGAAAACGATTTGCTGCCCCAGGGATCGAGTGTTTCTTGGAAAGGTGTATAGACAACGAAGAAGAAAACGGTGTGAGCTCCGCCTCAATAACCCTGAAATCTCAACAATAGCTTTCTCTAAAGGGGGCACTCCCTGATCAGTATCAATGAAAAAAAAAAAAAAAAAAACAATTCTAAAAAAAAAAAAAAAAGAAAAGAAAAAAAAATATATGCATAAGATCTGTAGAAGAGGAGGATGATTTATTAAAATAGCTGGTAGTCCAGCGAATGGTTTTCTTTTCTGTTTCTCCTTACTTAATTGTTCAGGTGGTTCTACCCATAATGTATCATAACCAACTAGCTGAACTCATCCCCGTGGAACACTATTCTAGACGACCTCGTGAAGTACCTACTTTTCCCTCAACTCCCTCCCCCCCCCCCCCCCCCCCCCCTGTTATTGGCAAGGCCTGCAGCCGCCTAAGTCATTACTCTAGTTAAGATTTGCTTCGAACAAAGACAACAAGTCAAGAATGATTGGCCGAAATCGCTGCTGCCGCCACGCTGATTCTCGGGGTAATGCGTGAAAAATTCGCGCTGCGGTTACATAAACCAAATCATGGTGAACGCATTCTATCAGCACTTTTTCGCGTTATGAACATTCCCGAACCCCTTCTTGTCCCTGGTGCAAGTAGATAAGTTCACTTAACGGGTGCATGTAGGACGTTGGCCGAACAGGCTTGGCTGGTTATAGAAAGCGACAGCGCGACATAACACCTGTTAACGGAGCTGCAGCGGAGATAGTGGGGCTAGGGAGTACTATTGTCGCCGGCGGGGCGCCGATGAGCGGCCTGTACGAATGGTTCATGGTGGGTTATCGATTTGTAATGAGCCGTCCGCAGACTGTCGCCGCGAAGCGACGTGAACGGGGGGAGGAGGGGGGAGAGGGGGGCGGGGGGTTTACATGCGCCCCAGTGATACAACCGCCGCCCCCCCCCCCCCCCCCCCCCCCCCGCGCGGCGCCGAGATTGCCAAAGGGGGACGTCGCCGACGATCTTCGGTTGCTAGGTGTTACGCCACGGCGTCGCTCCCTATAACCAGCTAATCTACTGCGGCCTCTGTTGCTGTGCGTCCTATAGCCAGTGGAATTGTACGTGGCGCTATCCCATAGCGACTTTGCGAACCTGTGCTGCACAGGTCTCCTCCAAACCTCGTTAAGGTCATCGCATCAACTAATGCTGACGCATTTATAATGCAAGAACTACATTTCTTAATCTGCCGTTCTCTCCACTGCTTTCTTCAATCAATTGTTAGAGTTGTCGTACCGCCTGAGGAGGCAACGGGTGGGAGGTCCATTGAATTGGATTTAGCTGAGTTTAACCTCTTGCATAGCAGTAGGCCAGTGACATACACAGTTTTTTTGAAAGAGAAGTCTAATCACTACCGAAAGAATTCTGTGTTTTTATTGACTAGAAATAAAGATAAATAAAAGCACTTTACCATTAATTAATCAAATTTGCACTACGCAATGCAAAAAAAAGAAGATTCTACTTATATCTCAGAAAAAAAAAAACAAGAAAAAAAAACTCGATTATCTTTTTGCTCAAGGACTAAGTCGGTGACAGGTTAACTGTAAAGTGGAAGCTCCTCTCACCTCTCTTTACTTTAGCAGAGCGAACGCTGGAGAGCAGGCGTCTACAGCGTTCCCTCTGCTAAGCTAGAAAGACGTGGGAGGAGATTTTACTGAACTCATAACCTGTCACCAACTATATTTAAAGATGCGTTTGTGGGTATCGGAACACCTAGCGGCTAAGCTCTATTCACTGCAAAAGCTAATCAAGGTTTCACCGTAAAAATGACCCCCTTTGTGAGAAAGAATCGACGCATTTTTATTCTGCTGCAAAGCGCATAGGCTTTAATATATAAAAAAGGTTCTTGGTACTTAAATGTTATAGAATTATTTAACGAAATTTGGTTTCGCCTTCAATAATCCTTCATTCATGCTGGCAAACCGAAACAGCTATTTGCTCAGGCACAGAATTTTGTGGGGATTGAAATAGTATAAAACAATAAGGTATGTTATTTCAGTTTAATGATACAAATAAGCCTTAGGTCGAATGCTCGTTAGCGTGCTTACCCAGCGAGCAAAAAGTAGAAATCTGCATGTCTCGCAAACGAAGTATTTTTTGTGAATATTCCAAAGGCATCCAACGTTTCATGCCCCTCGATGAAGCCACCTTCCTCCACAATAAATGGTTCATCCTGTTTTGTCTGTAGGCATTTAGAGAGAAACATAAGTCACAGGTTAAGGAAGTAGCGGCAAATGCCGCTCAAAGGGAATCATATATCCCTCCGCCACCTCTGCATCCAATAGCGTCCCATCGTTTCCGTGACGTCGCGGCCAACGTGTGAGGAGGGTCTTGCCTTTCTGTACATATTTTTCTTTTTCTTTCGACCTTGACTTAACATTGTGGAAGCCACGAGAGGGAAACTGGAGTTTTTCCCCTCCGACGGAAACAAATATGACTTTCGGGGATTAGGTTCCCCTCCGATGGATACAAAGGCTGCTTTCAGGGGCTCGGTTCCCACTCCGATGAATACAGAGGCCGCTTTCTTAAAAAGTGGGGGTCGAAAACACAAGTTGCCACCACTCTGTGGCCATTATCTATCCACTGAAGCGGAACAAGGAGCGTCTCAGTGGACTCTTCTTTTGACGGCGGAGGGATTTGAAACGGGCGCATCACGCTTGTGGCAGGAGCTTCACCTACCTTCTTGACTTGTAACCGACTATAGTGATATTGAAACTGGTGAAACTGAAAATCGAATTCTCTCTGGACGTGGCACCGCCTGCAGATCATCGTGGCGTAGTGCCTCGTCGATGCTAACGATGCCATATTCAAACATTATGGTCCGACTAGCCACGAGGAGCATGATTATTCTCGGCCAGAAACTATTATTGCACATAAGCATGTTTTATTGTGACCATGAATACCGGTCATAACTTAGTGCAATAAAATATTGAAAGCAGTATATTTAATGTTAAATGTGATATCCTCGCTTTTAATGTTTAAAAATTCGTAAAATGAAAAAAAAAACATAAGGTTTTTAATTTTTTATACTTACCTGGAACCGATATATTCCAACAAGATGGAGGTTTATTAAGGGTTTTTTGACCGTCTTGAATATTGAATTAACCTGCGTGACCGAAACAAGTGATAGACAAACTCGGTCAGTTGACTGAGAAAATCGATATTTAATTAACTATTTAGAGTGAATTACAACTTCATTTAGTAAACGTACAAATATTAAATACAAAAAACTACTCACGATATTCATAAGCCTTACGATGTAGAGCACTTGTAGCCTTTTGATACCTCTCAGGTACTGGTTTATTGAGCTGTCAATCATGATATACATTTCAGGTCGCCACACATCGGGTAGGTCTGGATCAGCTAGAAGGTTTCAGACACCAAGATGCTCTTATTGGTCAAAAATTTGCTCAAACACATAGTTCTACAGAGCCCGATAAAGTTAGCACAAACGAACGAGTACTTGGTTTTTCATTTGTTTTAGCATTGAATGGCGTTTATTCATACTAATAGGGGAATATAAAATGTTAATTTAGAAACCCAAAGTAAGTGGTAAAAGTTGATGCTCAGAAATACTGTTGAAGAGAAATAAATTCCGACGTCGCGTTGGCGGTAAAAGGGCCACACAGGGTTCATCAAAGGTTCTAGTATTTTCGCTCCAGATAGGCAGACTCTCTTCTTGAGCGTTAACTGATTTGCGATATAAAATTATCATGTGCTTACCACGTGGCTCTGGACTTTCATTCAGATCTTCATCTACTGGAACTGGAAAAAAAAACAACAAAAAAAACTGCGGCTCTAAATCAAATGTTAAAAGAGCAAGCGATGATGCATTTCAGTTTTGTTATTTTGGAAACTACCTGTATACCATTCTCCTATTTGGAAATTGTAGCCGGCGCGTAAGTTTCACCGCTTTAAACATTTCGTTTCGGATTTCCCCTTGGAAAACATTAAGAGAATACGCTGTAGGTGTTTTTTATTTTGCAAGAATTGACAGATGTGTGGATTAAAAAATATTTGCTTCCTGTCTACAAGGAGTGATGTCGTACATATAGTTTTCTCGTGTAATCAGGCTGAGGAAGAACGAAGCGCATTGAAGCATTCTATTGCTTAGGCTAAGATTTCTCTTATATATTTTTTTTCTGCAGTACCCACAGGGTCAAAGGACGTTTCAGAGGGGACTGGGTAACTATATATATATATATATATATATATATATACAGCAAAAAATACATAAATAGTCATCAAACGCAGTTCCGGGCCATTTAGAAAAAAAAAAGAAGAAAACAAAAAATCAAGGATTAACAACACCTATTCACAGATATTATGAGGGTACTCGCGCATGTAGTTCCACTATAATGAGCGTACTAGGTGGGATATTATTGTTATAGGCTAAGGTCTAAGGTAGTCGAATGCCAAATTTAAACTGGTGACTGATGCGTTAATAAATAACGCAAGAGGAGTCGGGGCGAAGTTTTAGTAATATATTATAATCAGTGGGATATAATATGAGAGCACCTATGACGCGATAAAAAAATGTTAAAAGTGGTTAGCTTTGATGACTGATATGCCGGCTGTACAGTGATAGTTACTGCGTGTAATGTGAACGGCGTGATCTTTAAGTAACTTCAGGTTAGTGGTAAGCGTCGTCTGACCAGGATCTGAGCCCTGAGAAAATATCCTATATGTATAAAACATATTTTGGCCCAATAAGCGAACATGATAAAATAAAATCATAAAGAAGCATATAAATACCTTATAATAATATATAAGAACAGTATATTTTTAAATAAGACGTTACAATAAATTTCTTAACAGTTCCTTATAACTTCTTATATATATTTGTTTGGCTCTTATATGTTCCTATGTGATGTTTTTGATAGTTTGCGTTTATTGGACAAAGAAAGGTTGTATACATATAAGATATTTGACTATAGAGATTGCAGCAGCGCAATCTAATTTAGAGCGAGCAGGGGATTTGAACAATTTTCTACGATGATAGGGGCATAAACTGAAGTTTTTATCTAGCCTAACATGACATGTATAGGGTGGCTCAAGTCATCAGGATCGATCTAAAATGGACCGTAAAAATCGACGCCTGCACGTAGCAATCTAAACTTTTCGTCAAAGGCGTATTTCACAGGTCAGTTTTTTCTTGTAAAATTACAAAGCGTAGTTCTCTTTCTGTAAAAAATAAGGCCAAGAAACTTGCCTGGGTCAACGGCGGGCGGCAACGCAGACGACCAAGTCGAGGTGTGGGGTGTGTTTGACGCTCTTATTGATAGATGGCGCTACCTCCTTGTTTCAGTCAGAGCTCTTGTTTCGGTTTGCTTTTAAAGAAATATCGAAAGTGCTCGCGTCGACCGTGGTTTATTGACACTAACATAATCTTTTTTGTAATCTACCTTTGGCTTGAAAATAAATGCAGACAGAGATAGCAAAACTTCAAGTAACAAAAATAAAAGAAAACGCGGTTGCATAACGACAACGCTGACGGCGCTCTTGCTGCCGGCGGATTTCGTCTGCGTGTCGTCTGCTTTCTTTCGCTGGTCGGTTGCATCCTGAGACGCCGCTTCCGAAAGCTTTTTTTGTCGCGGTTGATTGGAAAACAGCCACAATGCGTCACTTTGTACGCTATTTAGACCGCACTTTTGAGACACAGGAGGCTGCCAAAGCAAATTCAAGGTAAACAGAAATTAATGGCTCTGAAAACAGCCTGTCAAAAGAAGCCCGCGGTTTTCGCGGTTGTCAAAGCCGCTGGTCATATGTGCCAAATGGATAGGTATGTGCTCTTCAGTTCTCGTTGTCTTCAGTCCACATGTCCACCTCGAACTTGGAGGCACTTGTGCAGTCTTCGCTCATAATCCCTGAAGGCTGCCTCCCGCATGTTGTTCGTGATCGCATCGAAGGCGGATAGAATGCGCTTTTTGGTTCCGTCATCGTGCGCACGCGAACTACGTAGACCTGGGCTTTCACGAAACCCCAAACGAAAAAATCACAAATTGTCAGGCCAGGGGACCGTGGGGGCCAGGCATTGTCAGTGACCCTCGACCCATCCAGTTGCCGGGAAAGGTTCTGTCAAGCCAGTCTCTCACTGTGGTGGCGTAATGCGGGGGTGCTCCGTCTTGCTGGAAGATGCACACCTCCCTTTGCATGTGCGAAGCTTCCAGCTCCGGTAAGACGTCCTGTTCGAGCGTGCGAAGGTAGGCGTCGCCGGTGACCGCGCCCTCAAAAAAGAATGGACCGACAACGCCTTCCCTCCAAAGTCCACACCATACTACGACCTTTGGTTACTGGACAGTCTCTTCAATGATTCAATGGGGTTTGTCTCGGACCAGCAGCGGGTGTTCTGCTTGTTCACGTGCCCATCCAGATAAAAAATAGCTTCGTCCGTGAAAAGCAGAAACGGAAGGTGGTTCCTGTTTGTGGCGATGCGCCCAAGTTCGTCCTCGCAGAACTGCTTTCGCTGTTCATAGTCATCTGGCTGCAGCTCGAACGAGACCTGTGGCTTGAACGTATACATTTGTTAGCGGATCACCCTCCAGACAAAACTTTTACTGATACCAAGTTGTCTTGCGACTTGCCGCACGGACAGGCGTGGGCTCAATGCAAATGCCGCAAGCACCGCGTGACGTTTGTTCTGCTGTGGCGACCTCTCTTGGAGTACTCACAGCCTGGTCTGCACAGTGTTCTCCGTGTTGAATCGGTGTACCGAGCGCATGACAGTCCGACGGGTGGGTGGACGCCTACAAAAAGTGGCCCGAAACGTCGATCTCACTTGCCTCATACTCCTGGTTTCTGTAAACCAAAGGACTACCTGTGCCCTCTCTTGGACGGTCAGGTTTGGCTGTTTTCTCACCAACCACGACAGAAAAGGTCTTGGAAGAGGCGTCCGTGGATGCAACCGACCAGCGAAAGAAAGCAGACGACACGCAGACGAAATCCGCAGGCAGCAAGAGCGCCGTCAGCGTTGTCGTTATGCAACCGCGTTTTTGTTTATTTTTGTTTATTTATTTATTTATTTCGGGTTACCCCGCAGCGCCCGAAGGCATTATTGCAGGGGGGGGGGGGGGGGTACATAGTTGTGAGGGTAGAAATACACACGTGCATATGTACCAAAAAACAAGAAATAACGCAAGCTCACAGGAAAAAACTCAATCAAAAGCAAGCCCAGAATATGATGAAAGAAACATCGGCGACTGGCATTCCATGTACGTGCCAGATAAAAGAATCAGCTGAGGAAAATATGTGCTAACAGCGAAATTAAACAACTCACTTGCCGCATGACAAAAAAAAAACTTGAAGTTTTTTTTTTTTTTTTTGAAGTTACTTGAAGTTACTTGAAGTTTTGCTATCTCCGTCTAAATTTATTTTCAAGTTAAAGGTCGATTACAAAAAAGATTATGTTCCTGTCAATAAACCACGTCCGACGCGGGCACTTTCGATATTTCTTTAAAAGCAAACCGAAACCAGAGCTCTGACTGAAAGTATAGAGGAACTTTAACTGAAACAAGGAGGTAGCGCCATCTATCAATAAGAGCGTCAAACACACCCCGCACCTCGACTTTGTCGTCTGCGTCGCCGCCCGCCGTTGACCCTGGCAAGGTTCTTGGCCTTATTTTTTACAGAAAGAGAACTACGCTTTGTAATTTTACAAGAAAAACCGACCTGTGAAATACACCTTTGACGAAAAGCTTAGATTGCTAGTGCAGGCGTCGATTTTTACGGTCAATTTTAGATCGAGCCTGGTGACTTGAGTCACCCTATATATCTTTAGCAAGGATGTGATCAATGTGATTATGCAAAATTAGGGCATAATTAATATGTAGTACACAAAGATAATCATAAGACGTCGTATTCAACTACAATATTAGCGATTAAACGTTATAAGGTCATATTTATAACCTTCAGTATCTACCGCATACCGCTAAATGAACCTCATGGGTATTACAAAAAAATTGTGAACAGTTTTTGATACACTCCTTATTAAATGAAATAATACTAGGACAAGAAAATGGGTATGTAGCGATCAGTGAAAGAGCGCCAATGAAGAGGACGACCACATCACACACAAAGAGACGTCACGGGCACAATAAATGAGGCGGGACACGAGAAAGAACAATGTGCGGCTTCGGTCAACGGCACGCACCTCCTGCAAGCCAACACCATCACAACTACAAGAGCATTCTCAGATGACAAAGAAGCTATTATATAGTTGTAAATATTGTAAGTTAATTATGAAAGGTTACCCCCTTCAGGTCAATTAGCCTTCCCAGGAATCGGTCATTGCCTTAATCACAACATAACGTTTCTGAGTTGCTCGTGGGTTTCGGAGTAACGTAAAATCAGGTAGGTATAGTGAAAGTAGAAATTACTCCCTTATACTTTTTAGGGTTGTGAAATTATTCAGTTAACTTATGGATGAATAAATCAGTGCATTAGTTACTAATTTCTTAACCCATTAGGCGGTCAAGCACGCACCCTCCCATGGGATTGCGACACAGGTCCATCGCCGCTGTCGAGCAGAGCGCCAAGAATGATCTGGTAAAATTTATTTCTGAAATCCAGGTAGCGAAGTTTCTTGGACCAACATTATTGTTTTGCTTGATAATGTAAGAACTTAAAGAGCCTAAGGAAGACAAGGTAGGACCAAGCTTAACCTTCTTGGGTTAGAATTTGGGTATACTGGCGATGATTCGACAAGCTAGTGCGAGAGTTAGGCTTCACTTCTGGTTCTATGGTTCATACGCTGCGCCTTTGGCTCA